CCGAGCTCTCAGAGCAGCAGAACCTCACTCATCCAGGTGTGTATCAGGGAAGGTTTTCTAGGTGAGGTGGTATCTGGGCTGTGCCTTAAATAGCAGGAAGAAGATAATCAGGGGCTGGGGTCAGGCAGGGCAGAGCAAGGCAGAGGAGAAGGATAAGCATGGGCCTGGAGCAATAAGCAGCAGAGTATCTGTCAGAAATAACATGCAATAGGGTGTTGCAGGAGCAAAAGAAACAAGGAGAGGAATGGTCCCTGGGGGAGATTATGAAGGGCTTTGTATACCAGGGTAAGGACCTCAGATTGTATTCTGTAGGCAGTGAGGAGCAGTCCATTCATTCAACAAATGTTTCCTGTGTGCCAGCCAACTGCTGGGCACTGTGATCGATAGCCAGGATGCAATGGTGAGCAAAACTGACCCCATGTCTGACATCACAGAGCTTATGATCTGGTGGAATGGAACTCTTTTAAAGCCTGGGAGTGATGAGGGCCTTAACAAGAACAGCAGTCATGAATATGGAATAGGGGAGATTTATTTCAGAACTATTTGGGGATCAAAAATAGACAAGATTTGGTGACTGATTGAATGGGGAGGTGGAGAGAGATAGAGACAGAGAGAGAGCATATGAATGGCTCTCAGATTTATTCCATGGGTGGATGATGTGATACCTACTAGGATATAGAATTAAAAAGAATGAGTAGGAGGTTTGGTGGAGACATGAACAGTTTAGCTTTGGACTTGTTGAGTTGAAACAAGTCCACTTTCGGACTTCTTGAGGTGGATGTCTTTGCATGGAGATGGTTTCGCAGGTAGTTGGACATACAAGTCTAAAGACCAAAGAAGAGATTCAGACACGTACGTTTGGTAGCATATAGGAAATCAAACCACTGTGGAGGAAGGAATTATCCAAGGAAGACCTGGAAAGTGATAAGAGGACCTGACGTCTGTCCAAATTTAAGGCATAGATTGAAAAAGAGTGAATAATAGAAGAAAAAAAAGTCACCAATGGGTAACTTTATTTAGGAAGGCAAGATAGTTTTTGAAGTTTTGATTTGTTTGTTGGGATGTTGGTGGCACAGTGACTAATGAACAATTCAAATTCGTTCCCTAAGCACGCGGTGCCTGTGGAACATGAGCCATGCATTGTGCTGAGCTAGGAAAGGAGAAGACAGAGAAGATTAAGATACCATCCTCACTCCTGGAGGAGCCTGCAGTCAGGGGAGGTTATTGCTTCTATTTTACTACCAGATGCCAGTAAGATTGCCTTAGAGATTGAAAATACCATACGTGGAATCAGAAAAAACCCCAAACAACTTATTTTGAAGTGTTCTTAAGAAATGATAGAAGGAAATGGGGGTGTTCTAGCTGTCAGAGAGAGAAGATATGGGGAGAATCATAGCTTGCTTCAAATATTTTAAACGGCTGTCTCTTGGGGCCCTAGAACTAGAAAAAACATGAGCAAAATTAAGTTAGTTTATGTATTATATAAGTAAGTAAGTCAAGAAGAACTTACTGATGGAGTGAAGTTTCTAGGGTCTGCCTCCATTTATGACAATAGAAATAGTGTCTGGAGGACACTGGCTGTCAATGACAAGTTAGAATGTAGTTTCAATGATCTTTCAGGTCTTTCCAGCAAAAGACTTTTTTTCCCCAACAACTTCTTTGTTGTTGTTGTTGTTATTGTTTTGTCTAGCCCTGTGACCATCTCCTAGAGCAGTGGTTCTCAAATTTTGAGAGTACTGCATACCTGTTTGAGAATCTGATAAAAAGTTATGAACCCTATCCCTTGGGAAAAATATGTAAGTATCCACATAAACCCAAATATTGTTCCAACAAGACCCCCCTAAAATCTTCCATAGGCAATTCTGGACCTCAGGTTAAGACCTCTTGTCTTAATGGATTGCCAGTAAGTGAGAACACAGCCATTGCTTACTCTGAAATTATATACATTGAAGAAAAAAGCCTCTTTGGGACTTAATTTAAAAGCATGACTAAGGTTTTTTATTCATCTAATGCCATGCATTCTTGATTTTATTCTGTCAGCCTTCCACTATAAGTGGCCCCAAGCAACTCACAACTTCACAGATATGTATACATAATCAGATGCACATATTTTATTTTAAAAATAATAATGATGTTGTCTGGTATAACCGCATATAGTTACAGAGAGAGGTTATTGTAACTGAATTTCTCTGTAGATGTATTTGGGGGGAGTTCGTTCTGATTAGGGCTGTCTTACATATTTATACTAGAAGAGTTCATGAGCTATTTCTGATACTTAGACTTTAATCATGCTTAATGAACTGAACTAAGCATAATTCTTGTTCTGTTTTTGTAACTTTGTGGATTTCTTCTAATGCTCAGTTTCATGTGACTACATCATTCTTAAAATGCTAATACACAAAAATGCTAATTCAAGGAAGGAGCACAAAAGTTAGATTTCACTTCAGAGAAGTGCATTCAGTATTCACAGGCCTTCCGGAAGAGCAAGGCTGTGAGAAGA